GTTGAAGAGGGTCTGTGCAATCCTTCTGCCTAGTCCGCCATCTTGCCCCGCCTCCAATGGTAACTAGTTTTATAATTAGACCAGCACAGGTGCCCATGCAACAACTACATATCAATTTAACTGAGGATTTACCTAAGGCATTTGACTGCTAACCAGAAGGCTGGTGATTCCAACCCACCAGCCACTCCTCAGAAGGAAGAGTGAAGGCAATCTACTTCTGTAGAGATACTGCCTCAGAAACCCAAGGAGGGGTCGCTATGAGTCAGATGTGACTCCACGGCAGTGAGTTTGGTTTTATGGACAAGACAGAGCTACTTTAGTTATGGTCAAATGCTCACATCTACAGTATTATAAAAACCTGAGTTACATAGTTAATGTATCCAAAACTTCATGCAGATCATATATGAATGAACATCCTACTCTGTACAAGCAAATAGAGCAGATAGATAGATATCTGAAGAACATTCTAGCATAGGAATAAAATGAAATATTGCAAAAGGAAAAGAGTCTCTAATACTGAGGTTGAGAGTTGGCTAAGTATCATTTTCACTTGCAGGAAGAAGATGAAGCTCCATTATGGTGAAGAAATACTCTTACTTTGTGTGGTCTATAATATCCATCTTTACAGGCTTCACAGTTGATCCCTATGGTGTTCTGTAGACAGTTTATACAAACTCCTCCTCCTTGGAACTGTCCAGCAGTATTCAAACTTCTCTTCTGATGTGCAACACTTTCATCGTAGTAACAATCTTTAGCTTTATTGTGACAATTACACTCTAGGAGAATATTTTAACATCTCAATTAATATGCATGTAATGCCCTATCTAGAGAAGTCCTTCCCTCCCTAAGTAAATTTCTGTGACTATAAATTAAATTAGGTTAGGAGCTCTGGTAGCATAGTGGCTAAAGCACTTGACTGCTAACCAGAAGGCTGGCGGTTCAAACCCACCAGCCACTCCTCAGAAGGAAGGTTGGGCAATCCTACTTCCGTAGTGATACTCCCTCAGAAACCCAAGGAGGGGACTTTATGAGTCGGGGCTGACTCAATGGCAAACAACAACAACAACAACAACAACATAAATTAAATTAAAATTCTAGAATAAATCACTTCAATAGGATGGGCAGTCTTATAGAGGGTGACTGGGAATAGCTATTATAAATATACATTTCTTTTGATTCACCTAGCATCTTCTGGGATTATATCTTGCAGAAATGCTTGCACACTTGTAAACGGCATGCCCAAGTTTAAGCATTACACCATTTTGTAAACAAAAGATTAATAAAAAACAAAATATTCATTGATAGGGAACTGGTTAAGTAAATTATGTTATATCCACAAAATGAAATTCTGTGCAACTGTTTTTAGAAATAGCATTTCATATCACCTTAATAGCAAGCTCTGTAAATAGATAAAGTGCAAATTTGTAAATATGCAATTAAGCCTTACTACTTTAAACTATACTAGGAGGTCTGGTAGTGTAGTGCCTAAGGCACTTGACTGCTAACCAGAAGGCTGGCGGTTCAAACCCACCAGCCACTCCTCAGAAGGAAGGTTGGGCAGTCTACTTCCGTAGTGACACGACCTTGGAAACCAAAGGAGAGGGCACTATGAGTCAGGTCCGACTCCATGGCACATAACAACAACAACAACAAAGTAATCAGAAGCTTTAGGAATTATTTGAATTTCTGAGAAAACAAGTTATTTCTCAATTACAACAGTTGTTAAGTTACCATAAACTTAAACATATTAAGAGGAAAAAGAAACCTACATTCTCCAAATTCTAACTGTATTTACCTTCACATGTGTTACCAGAAGAAACAGTCCCAGGTCTCCAGGGCTGCTGATGGAATCCAGGACAACATTTATTGCAACTCTCCCCACAGGTGTTATGCTCACATTGGCATTGTAGTTTCTAACCAGAGAACACAAAATTTGATAAAAAAATTTTACCTGCATATTTGTCTTTGAGCTATTCAAAAGCAGGACCTATCACAGTCAATTATGTGGCAAGACTTCACAATCAAAGATATATAGCAGTAACAAAGCAAAAGACATTTAATTTATATATATATATATATATATATATATATACGACTATGTACAAAGAGTAATGAGGAGAAAAATACAGCAAAACTAAAATATGGATTAACTAAAATGTTTTTTTAAAAACATATATTGACTTTCAGGTTTTGGAAGTTCCTATTAATAATTTTTTGATGTTCTCTAGATTTTTTTAGCATCAGTAAGGGGATAACACCAGAGATGGGGAGAGGGGAGTTATGTGAGTTGTTTAAAAGAAGTGGGGAGGGTAAATGTCATGTTGACACTTAACATTATGCTAAAACAAATGAATTTATTTTATCTTGATTTAATACCACAAAAATGGAAGAAGGAGAAAATAAGAGCAGGGAAATACTCTTTGAGAAAAATTAGCTTGACATTTTTCTTTCTTTCTTTCTTTCTTTTTTTCTTGACTGTCTTATAGAGAAAAAGAGCTTAAAATGAAATTGTTACAAAATAAAACCAGTTATTTGAAAATCTTTTTTTTTTTTTACCATACTTTTATGCCTTTCAACATTTTCCCTGAATAAATATTTTAAATAGAGTAATGTAAACACTACAGTCAAACTTCTATTTTAAAACTTTAGTAAAATGTGAAACGCTAGGACTCACCTTTGTCATTTCATCCCATGGACAGCTACTAGCGTGGCCATAGCAAATACACATTCCTCCAACGGAAATGTCTTTTATTGAATAATAATACTTAGGAAAAAGAGAGTTACAGAGGAAAAATAAAACCTCTCATAGTTCAGTGAAAAGAAAATGTTGACACTCCAATAAATATCTCAAGTGGCTTAAGACTTCATACTGGTTATTTAAAATATGATTAGACATATATTTTAAATTATATTTAATGCAAAAGGAATCCTTATGTTTGATTAAGATATATAATGCTTCAATTAGCTCAAATCTGAAAACAAGGGAATCTAAAATAATTTCCCAACATGGCTGCATCTTAAACAAAGGCTATTG